TATACACACGAAGCAAAGTGTTAATAGCTGCAGCATGGCGCAAACCATACATGGAGACAATCATAGAGAAAGGCAACTAGAGCTCTATTACTGTCACTGGGAGTGACACGTCGTCAGAGATCATCAGACTGATCCATGTTTTGCTATTCAGTATAATTATTGTTACTTGTACATGACGTGATCAGCAGCTGTAATTGCCTCACAATAATTTCAGCTTGAAGTAGCAGTAATAAACTGCTACTTGTAGCTAGCGGTGGACCATTCATTTGTCAGCGATCCCGTACAGCTAGCCATCAGGTGTTACATGTATGTACATGTACATGTCGGTGATGTTCATGGCTTCACATTTTACAGGTATTCGTCTCGTTGCCCGCGAATACATAGTGTGAATACACCAATTAGATCTCGGGGCAGCACTTCGAAACAGCATGTTAGCTAGGATACATATTTAGCAAGATAATTCTTAAAAACGATTAAATAATAATTATTATACCCACCTGACAACAAATGGCAAGGCTGCCAGGAAAACGGCGAGCTCCCATGTAGGGAGCAACACACTCTTCCCGAACCATAAATTAGATACATGACTATAATGATTGTACACTGAAGATTTGCTATTACGAAACGCACGCACATATAATAGCAAATCTTCAGTGTACAATCATGTTGGTCTCTACAGTCCATTCATTGGAAACTGGCACCCTAACTTTTTGGCGTCTCTCTCACATACATGTAGTTGTAGATATCGTGAAAACAACAGTACATCCTGCATTGTGTGACCCGTGCAATTACTCCTTGCCACATTTGAGGCCAGAAAAGTCCAAGAACAGGGAAATAGAAATTCAGCCAGGTTTTACGAAATTAGGACAGGTATGCGATGGCAAAATGTATGGAGAAGCAGATCCAAAACCCAGATTTTTGAGATTTAAAGTGGGTTTTTGATCCTCAATTTGGCCCAAATCCGACTTTCAAAAGCCAGCGGGCCAGTTTCCGATGAATGGACTGTAGTACTGACTGTTGCCATACATAATTTAGATACCATAATAATAGTAATGAAATACGTTTCGTGAAGACTGTAATTTACAGTCTTCACGAAACGTATTTCATTACGAAGAGCTGCGCTTCGGTCCTCTGACACTGAGCTGTGCTGATGAGCTCTATTGAACAGAGCGAAACAGTTGCTGTCCACAGACTTGAGTAATACACTCTTCATGACTGTTTATGTACAGTGCTGGCAACTGAAATCCGACCCCCTGAGCGTGCGCACGCTCAGCTGATCAGGGGTCGGATTTCAGGTGCCAGCATTGTACAATGTGTCTAACTTTTTTTTTTTTTTTTTTTTTAATTTCGGCCAGTCGGCTACTATCATTAATTTTCGTCTTGGGGGTTAGACAAGGGGAAGTAGCCATGTAGGGGCGTTAGCCCGCCTTTCGGCACCCGTGTCTAACTTTACTTTGCTGTCATGCCAAACTAGTCTTCGACGTTTCCGGCATGTCGGCTAAGTACATTTTACCGTATTATCTCTAATATAAGCACAGTCTCCAATAATAGCACGTCTCCAATAGTAGAACACCTTGGGCGGCATTCAAAAAATAAAGTGCTCAGTCTCCATTATAAGCACACTGTGTAAATTCATTATCTGTACCGGCGTAAAAACCCTGAAATGTGTGTGACTGACATGAATTTGGCATGGCAACAAGCCTCTGAAATGAGGTTGAAATAATAATGGGACAGTCTCCAACAAAGGAATGTCTCCAATAATAGCAAGGGGCGGAGGTAAATTGAAAAAATAAAGGACCGCGCTTATATTAGAGATAATACGGTACATGTGATTGTGCATCTCACAATTCCATTCCATGCTGTCCAGACATCCTACATTGAGCAGGACAGTCCTGCTTTTGACCAAAACATTTGTATACATTTACATGTACATGTACATCGGACACGATTTTCATTGTATACATCATACTATAGGTATCCTGCTGTGGAATGGGGCAAGGTTGAACAGACTGTTATTCTGCCACTTACATGTACATGTACACTCTATTGCTGAGTGCATAAAGCTACATATGTTTGGTAAAACCTGTGACTAACGACCACCCCTTGGGGCCGGAAAAAGGCGGTCTTTAGTGGCAGGTGGTCCTTAGTTAGAGGTTTTTCACCGCACAACTTTATACTCGTAAGAATGTGAGACCGTCTGTGCCTGGCGAAGTGGACCGTAGTACCAGGCTGGTCGCTAGTCACGGTGGTCTTTAGTTACAGGTTTCACTGTACCTGTCAGGATTGCCAAAGCGGCCACGCCGGAACGGTTTCTGCAAATTACCAACAGATCCGGCTTGCTGCGTCAGACAAAAAAGCAGTGTTCGGACTTACTTGTAGCTCCCAGAACCCCACACTACCACAACAACCACAGAAACAAAACACCTTAGATCCACGTACCTAGGGCCATGCCTATGATTCTTGCCTCAAGTCTTTATTCTCATGACGACCAATGGCCAATAAGACTTGTTGTTGGCTTTATTGAAAGTGGAAGTCCAAAATAGGCCTGATTCTAATAACAATGGTCCCACTGGTAGGAAGAGAAAAGAAGGATCGAGAAAAGCAAGACCATAATAATTATTGGAAAGTGGGAAAAAAATAAGCGGACAAATAACCTAGCATACAGTCATGTGCATTGAGCACGTTGCAGGCAATTGCCAGAATTACTCCTTTGTAGCATACATGTACATGTAAGTAGAAACCCGGGAATCGTCAATTACTAGTAGTAGTACCTTCTTGGTACTTTTCAACTCCCTGGCAGAAACCGAGATCACGAAAATTAATTTCGGAGTGTGGGAAGCAGAAAGAGTAGACGATGTAGTGGGTCGTGGCACCCGAGATGGCCACTATTGTGCTGAAACACAAACCCTGGACGTGGTGTTGAAATGAACGCTTGAGCACATCGAAGTGCATGTAGGTGGAGGTGGAATTGCCTTTCACTTTCTAGAATCGTCACCATTCGCGATAGCGCCGGGGTCTTCATGGTATCGACCATGCACACGCTTTTACTATGCTGTGTGGTGACTCGAGGGCTTTGCGAACACGAACGCTGCGACATGTTCACACTTGCAAGGACGTGTTGTGAGTGCGAGGCGATTTCGAGAAGGGAAATCTACACAGACACACACACACACACATTGCATCTCTCTCGCTTGCCACAGTACTTCAGCTTCTACATTGCACTTTTGCAGTGTAGGACCGATAGGTGTTACCAGGGTGTTGTGAAAACGCACAATGCACTGGCTAGCCCGCTCACAGAACAGAGAACTCGCCGAGCACTGCATGAGGTTCGTTTGTCCCTCTTGAAGTTGAAATGCATGGGGCTTGCAGTTCCCTCATTCTGACTCACTGACCATGAACTGGTCACTTCGTGTTCTGAAGACTGGCCAGAACCTGGTGTATTCCATTTTCTAGAAACAGGAGGTCTCCGTGCTGACAGAGGTAAGAACCGGCATTGGTTGAGAAGGAAACAAGAGGAAAGTCGGAGTTCAGTTGACAGACAGGATGTCTCTGCCTGGCGTTTTCGAACGTTCTCGGGCGTATTCCGCCTGTGCGACGGGTTGTGCGCGTTCTCGGCGTCCAGCTTGCCATGCCATAGTTGTTGCGGAGGTCCTTCTGCTGACGGAATGACGCGGACAGATAGGGCTAGTTCTGGTTTGCTTCCCCAGTAGATATTTGTGAGTTCAAGTAGCAGGGTGCAGTGGTTTGTAACGACGATAGTAATACTTTTTTAGTTGCGTTCGTCTTCTGGTGTCTTGTTGTTCCACATATATCTGCTGCAGCAAGTCCTGAACCGCTATTGCCAACAATGGGAATGTACCGCAAAGCTATACACGTAGTGCTGCTGCTGGAACCCTACGGCAACGACACGAGTAAGTTTGATATACCGTAGACTAGTTCAGCAAGGAGCAGCAGCACCCGCAACGCTAGGAAGTCGGGCGGTGTGCATCAACTGAGTGTGCGCGAACCCGTACCGGTTGCAGTTCTGTGCATAGCTTCACACTCACAGACGTACTGGTCTAGCCGACCAAGCTGGCAGGACAAGAGCAGCACGACATTGTTACTGGACTGCAAGGCTGCGAAGTCGTGATTTGCCTCATGCTCTCCCTGGTAAGCCTATCCCATCCCTGCTTCAATGTCCCTCTCTATTAGTTTGGTGACAGTTTCTAATATTCACTTGTCTAGGGAACGGGAAAG